GCAGGGCCTCCGCGGGCCGGATCAACCCGTTTGGTGGGCCGGATTCGGCCCACGGAGGCCCCTTTGCCCACCCCTGGTCTACGTGCTACGTAGTGTCGTGATTTCGAATGAATCCTCCGAGGCGGCTACTTTCACCGCGCTGGTGTTGAATGCCTGGGACGTGGCGGCTGGTTTTTCACGCCCAGGAGGATTCTGCTCCCGCAGGGCCTCCGCGGGCCGGATCAACCCGTTTGGTGGGCCGGATTCGGCCCACGGAGGCCCCTTTGCCCACCCCTGGTCTACGTGCTACGTAGTGTCGTGATTTCGAATGAATCCTCCGAGGCGGCTACTTTCACCGCGCTGGTGTTGAATGCCTGGGACGTGGCGGCTGGTTTTTCACGCCCAGGAGGATTCTGCTCCCAGGGCGTCCAGCCAGCGTGTGGCTCCATCCGGTTCAGATGTTGCGGTTCCAGCCACCGCAGACCCGTAACGGGTGGGTGACCCGTTCAGACTCCGCTCTGGGGGAAGGGAATTGAAATCGAGCCTCTTTGGGTTGGCCGGTTGGCGGGAGTTCGTTTTTTAGCTTGGCGCGGATGTTCCGGGGGGCCTCTCGCGTTGTCCAGGAAGCAGGAGTTCGGTTTCAAAGAGCGGCGTGGCTGAGCCAAGGCTCCAGCTGCTCGTATCTGCTTGTTTGTCTCGAACCTCTGCCGCGATGGGACACGATGGCGCTTGGAGCCTCCGGTGGGGGACGGGAGGAAGGAGCTGCCCCGGGATTGGGGCTGGTAGGAGGAGGCAGAAGGGCTAAGAAGCTATTTCCTTTTGCCTCGGGCTTGAGGGAGCAGCTGACCGCTTCTCTCCCCCGGGGGCGTCTCCAGGGGCGTGTCTGCACTGCGCTGAAAGACCCGTGGTGCTGAGGCAGGGACCCTGAGTCAGCTGCCCCAGGCCCTGGGAGTCGCTGCTGGGTAGGATTTGATTACTGTGGAGACATTGCTGGAGATGGTTCGTCTATCTCTGGGAGCCACCAGCTGCCTCATGGGTCATTCCAGTAGCTCCCCGAGCTTCCTCTCCTTCCCTACTCTCGTGGGCTGGCCTCCTCCCTTTCTGTTTTCTCTTCTACTCCTCCTCTTCTTTTACTTGTTCCCATAGCACAAGAACTAGGGGTCACCGAATGAAATGTATAGGTAGCAGCTTTAAAACAAACAAAAGGACGTTTTTGTTCATGCAGTGCACAGCCAACCTGTGGAACTCCTTGCCAGAGGATGTTGGGCAGGCCAGGACTTTACCGGGGTTCAAAACAGACCTAGATAGATTCATGGAGGTTAGGTCCATCAATGGCTATTAGGCTGGGTAGTGTCCCTGGCCTCTGTTTGTCAGAGGCAGAGAATGGATGACAGGAGATGGATCACTTGATGATTCCCTGTTTTGTGCACTCGCTCTGGGCATCTGGTGCTGGCCACTGTGGGCAGACAGGACACTGGGCGAGATGGACCTTTGGTCTGACCCAGTCTGGCCGCTCTTATGGGCAAGGCCTTTCTGAGAGCTTGCACAGGCCCATGGGTCATTTGGGGCTTTAACAACGGCAGTCGGGTCAGAGTCAGGTTTGGTTTCAGTATTGATCTTACAAAGGGCAGAGCCTTTGTTTCACCTGGCAACCCGCATTCTTTTCCCAGCTCAGTGCAGGTTCTAGGTAGACAAACGTGGGGATTCCAGCTGGTTCTGGTGCCATTCCCTGTCCCTCTCTCTCACACACACACACACACACACACACACACACACACACACACACACACACACACACACACACACCGAATGCCCATGGCACACACCTGTTAACTACATGAGTCATAGAATACGGTTCCTTATCATCGACTGCTAAAATCGGACCGTGACTGCTCACACAAACACACCCTCTTCCTGCGTATACAACAGCTGACTTCTATTCCGTGGTTATCTCAAGAACACACCTTTGGGTCCCTTTGTCTTTTACATAGAAACATTCATCCCTTTCTCGTAGATTCTTATCCTCACACACCCATCCCAGATGTTCCTGGGTCACACACGGAAGCATGCCCGCGGTTTCCCGTTGTTGCTTTTCTTTCTGATGGTCGGTGGGAAACGTAATCAAACGTTTTGTGAGCTGGATTCCCATAGGACAGATAGTTAGGCTGGGGTGTGCGGTTACTACCTATTCTTGTAGAACTGTGGAATGATTAAAGATTGAATGAAGAAAGGTCTAGAGAACATGACCTATGAAGGAAGACTAAAAGAACTGGGCTTGTTTAGTTTGGAAAGGAGAAGACTGAGAGGGGACATGAGAGCAGTTTTCAGGTATCTAAAAGGGTGTCACAAGGAGGAGGGAGAAAAATTGTTCTCCTTGGCCTCTGAGGATAGAACGAGAAGCATTGGGCTTAAAATGCAGCAAGAGAGGTTGAGGTTGGACATTAGGAAAAACTTCCTGCCTGTCCGGGTGGTTAAACTCTGGAATAAGTTGCCTGGGGAGGATGTGGACTCTCCGTCACTGGCGATATTTAAGAGCAGGTTGGACAGACATCTCTCAGGGATAGTCTAGAGCAGGGGTTCTTACGCTGTATTCCGCAGAGAACAACAGAATTCAAAATGGCCGCTTTTTTTTTTTTTTTTTTGCTCAACAAAAACTCCTTGGTGTTCCTCATAAAAAAAAAAAAAATTTTTGGTGGTTTTTCAGTTAAAAGTTTAAGAAACGCTGGTCTAGATGGTGCTGGGTCCTGATGTGAGGGCGGGGGACTGGACTCGATGACCTCTCGAGGTGCCTTCCCGTGCTAGTGTCCTAACTATTGAATCTTTGTTTAGGGTAAAATCTTTGTTTACCAATTTCCACCAGGTCTCTTCCCTTCTGTAACATTTTCCCACGGCAGTTTTCTTATTTCCAAAGGCAAATTTCCTTGCAGACTTGCCCGGGTGATGGGAATGACCAATTGCCGGCTTTCGGGAGACATTTTCTTGCATTGATCCCCTAGTTCCTGCTGCTGTGCTACTCACCCCTTATGGGATGTTTGTACACACGACACCCATCTGCACGCCTTGCTTGCAGGAGGTGTTCAAGGAGAGGATCGGCTACTCCCACCTGTACGACGTTCTCAAGAGCCAGAGCCAGCCCACCACCCGCCTGCTGGAGGCGCTCCTCGACATGGTAAGGACAGCACGCCGCTGCAGCGTGCCTCGGGGCTTCCCAGTGCCTGCCCCACACAGCCCAGCCCCCCTTCGAGATTGGGGGGGTGATGCTCCACTACCATGTGACTCTGTCCCCTTCTGCGTGGGCGGCCGTGCGGCCTGGAAGCTGAGCACTTGGGAAGCCACGCGAGAGAGATTCAAATGCTGCCCAGCTACTTAGCAGAGCACTTGTGTTTCTACTGGTGGTGCACATTTGCATATGTCTCGGTGCACAGAACAAAATGTATTCTGTGTGTGGATGGAAACAACTAGAGCAGTGTTTCTTAAAGATGGGTGGGTGTGGATGGAAACAATTAGAGCAGTGTTTCTTAAAGATGGGTGGCAAACAGAGTTCAAAATGGCTGCCCTTAAGGGGGCAGAGTGACTTTTTTTTTTGCTCAACAAAAAAATTGTTGGGTGTTCCACATAAGAAAAAAAATTAAGAAACCCTGAATTAGAGGGAACCATGGGTGGGACAGGGCTAGAGGCTTGTACTGCCTCAGCCTGGTCCTTTGCCTCACCAGTAGAAGTTGATGGTTTCACAGCCAGAGGTCCTGGGTTGCTGGTGGCCCACCCAAGGCTCTTGCTGAAGCTGTACTGCCAGACACAGCGTGTCCCCATGTGCTACAGCACATCCACTTTCTCGCGGGCCGAACGGTGAAGTGATGAGATGCAGCTGGTCCCTTTTCACTCCTCAGTACAGTGGTGGTGTTTCCACGGGCCTGACCTTTGGCATTTGGTGGGAATTTGGCCCATGCGAAGGTGGCTCCCTGTGTGTGGCCACATGGTTGGTCTGGACTCATGCCAACCCCGCCTCACGTCCCACCCTGTCCCTGCCTCGTGGGCCAGCCCAGCTGGGGAACCGCAGGTCTGCCGCCATGTCCTCGCACGGGAGGCCAAGGGCACGTGAGGGAATGAAACTCGCGACAAGCTCACGGTTAGGTAGCACGTCCGGCATCCTCAGTCCAGACGACCGTGAGAGACAGCACTTTCCCGCGAACGCCCCGGGTCCAGTGTGATACCCACACGCGCAGGGGGCCCTGCCTGCCGGTGCCACTGAGTCAGGCAGCTCCCTCGTGCCGGCACGCCCAGGCATCGGAGCACATGTTGCGGGGCCTGGTCCCCAAGTGCGTTTGCACGCATCCCAGGCTCTGGGGCAGACTCTACCAGTCGTCCAGGTCCAGCGTGCGTACGGGCCCGCGTTCAGCGCACTAGTGCGCTACGTGCAGGAGCGTCCTGGCGGGATGGGCCCCGCGATGATCCGTATCCTGCTCCCCGCCCTCCCGCCCCAGCTGCTCTTGTAT